TTTCATCTTTAAAGATTATTTAAATACAGTTGTAATAATGGTTCTATAATGACACTATCTTAATTATATCATTTAAAAGCACCATTACTTAAAATTGACACTAAACTCTCAAAGCACAATTTAAAGCCCCCTTTAACTGTGTAAAACTCCGCTGCAATGTCACCAGCCAGCTGTTGTATGTAAAACATCAAGATCTAATATCCTCTGTGGCAGATGGGCAGTTAGAGACACCAGTTCCAACGGCGAGGCTATCAATACCTGAATTGTCTTCATCTTTGCGGATTTTGAGCTTCACCAGATCTTCGCACTGCTGGAGGATCTGAACGGCGTCTTCCATGGAGCAGTTGTCCAGGCGGATGTTGTCTATTGCAAGCAATTTATCTCCAAGTTCCAGCGTTCCGGTCCTGTTGGCAAAGGCATAGCAACACGCGAGCGATGATGAGCACGTACGCAGGCCATCTCAGAGGCGTTAGCATCATGCAGCATGATGGTAATCTTTAGAGGAAAAGCGGTTCCTCAACTGCTTTTAAATTGAATTTTATTGACAACTCCCCCCCCACACACCCCACCCCCACCCCCCATTCCCTAAGTCTTATTTTGGATGGTCGCCATGATGAGAAATAGCAGAGTATTAAAAACAGCTTTTTCTTGTGCTGCCTTCTATTAACCAGGACAACACTGTCAGCCTCACCCAGGAACTCTAAGGCTCTCAGGAAGGGAGGGAATGTCTGCCTCCTATGCTTCTCCACGTTGTCGTGCCACTTTGGATCCTTGGCCGTAGACGCTAGGACAGGGTGGAGGGAGCGAGGGCAGCCAAGGTGGGAGGGACAGAGTGGAGGGCTGAGACGAGTGCCTCTGCCATTCCCACCTGCGCGGAGAGCTCACTGTGGGGAGAAAAGGTGACTTCCACGCTTGCTATCTGGAGTGTGGCCACGGAGGGCCTACTACTAGCTGTGGACCTCTGCAGGGCTCTGAAAGTTTATAAGGTCCATCATAAAATAAGAAAAATGATACGATTGTATATGTGTTTGTGTGTGTGTATATGTATACGCACATAATTGTAAATAAGGTTATGTTGTTTTAAAAAACGTATTTTTATTGATTTCAGAGAGGAAGGGAGAGAGAGAAACATCAATGATGAAAGAGAATCATTGATCTGCTGCCTCCTGTACGCCTCCCACTGGGGACCCAGCCGGGGGCATGTGCCCTGACCAGGAATCGAACTGTGACCTCCTGGTTCATAAGCCAATGCTCAACCACTGAGCCATGCTGGCAATAAAGTTATGTTTTGATAAGAACTATCCTTTATGCTTTGGGTCTGCGACAGAGATTGCTAATTGCTTCCCAGCATCTCTTCTCTCCTTCCTGCTTTGGGATCACGCCCTAGCGATGCACACCCCAGACTCTCTCGGCCCACCCCTACCTCCCTTCTGTGGCTAGAAGGTTGCAGCACCGAGCAAGTTGTGAGGATGGCGAGCTGCTTCCCAGCCCTGCAGGGCCTGCCACACTCCCACTGTTATGTGAGAGACAAACTGCTGCCTTGTTTGATCCACTTTATTTATGAGTCTCTTTGTCACAGTGGAGCCTCTACCTATATACACCTACACTCACACACTGTCCTTACTACCTTTTTTAAAAACAGATTTATGCATTTATTTATTTTGAAAAAAATATATTTTTATTGATTTCAGAGAGTAAAGGAGAGGGAGAGAGAAACATCAATGATGAGGGAGAATCACTGATTGGCTGCCTGTGGCACGCCCCCCACTGGGGATGGAGCCCGCAACCCAGGCATGTGCCCTTGACCAGAATCGAACTCAGGACCCTTCAGTCCACAGGCTGATGCTCTCTATCCACTGAGCCAAACCAGCTAGGGACTTACTATTTTTTGAGGGTTAAAATATTTCTTTAATGAAATGGCTGTGATAATAGGTGGGATTTTTAAAAAAGTCCTTAACTGGAAAGTGAAAAAACACACACAAAAAACAGTCTTATAGTAGTGTTCCCCAATCATTTAAAAATATTTTTGATCCGTGAAACCAAAAGTTTGAGACTTCCTGATGTGGATAGATATGGACCAAATAGGAGATAAAACATTAAGGCTGAAGGACCTGGCTGGGCCAGGAAGGACATCCTGGCATCTAGCAAAGCTCTTGCACAAGCTACTGTCTCCACGTGGGGTGGGTGTACCTAAGGCGGCTTTCAGATTTCCAGTTGGAAAATGAAAGATGGAATATGATCAGTGAAGGAGAGCCTCTGTTGGACTCATAAAAGGCCTTACAATACATTTTCAGGCCTGTGCTTTCTGTACTGGGTGCAGAAATAAATCAGCATGCCGAGGAATTTCTACAACAGCACTGACATTGGAAATACCAAATATGACTGATTCATGGCGGCTGCCTGGGATATATTGAAGCTACCACGATCCATTAGCAAGGTCTGCCTAGGGTGTGGCAGGGGTCATTTCTGCTTTACGAAGAAATGCCTTGGAATAAACAGAGAAGACGTTTTCCTTACCTGTGTGCCACACTGCCTTTTTTGATATCTGAAATGACAAGGGGGTCTCCCGGTTTTCTACTGGATGGAGCTGTAACAATGAAGATAGAATAGTCACATCTTTATATCCACAATTCACCTACTATACATTTCCTATTTTATAACAACTGTTAATGCAAGTATAGTTTGTATGTAAAGCAAAGATGATCAACCAATGAATTAGAAATGCGCACACTACATCTTCTTGATGCAAACATGTTTATATTACCTACACTAATAAAAGAGAAACATGCAAATTAACCATCACTCCACCACTCCGCTACACCCACCAGCCAATCAGAGCGACTATGCAAATTAACCCAACAAAGATGGCAGTTAATTTGCATACACAGGTGTGGAGTGAATACTGAAGATGACTGAAGATGGCGGCGGCCAGAGAGCTGGAGCAAGCAGGAGGCTTGGTTGCTCCTGGTGACGGAGGAAGCCAAGCTTCCCGCCGGCCCTGGACTCCGCTCAAGGAGTGGCTGGGGGCCTGGGTCACCAGGGGCAACCCAGGCTTCCAGCGCGCCCTGGGCTCCGTTCGAGGAGCTGGAAATAAATTAAAAAAAAGGAGGGGCTGGAAGCAGCCAGAGTGGAGAAGCCAAGCCTCGCTCTTGCGGTTGGACCAAAGGCCTGGATCCCAGGTGCTGGAGGAAATCTGGTGCCGGCAGCCAGGGGAAGGAAGGCCTATTGCACGAATCTTCGTGCAACAGGCCACTAGTAGTATTTATAAACTTAAAAACTAAAGCATAGTCATTTTAAATTTGTAATTGCAGAAAACAATCGGAGAGCTGCCCATCAGATCTGGGGACTCTGTCATGGTGTGAACACCCTGGCATCGTATTTTTATCTGTGATTCTCATGAGAGGGAGACGAAGGATGGATTCTCCACTGGGCAGGTTGCAGGCTCAATCCCCAGTAGGGGGCGTGCAGGAGGCAGCTGGTCAATGATTCTCATCACTGATGTTTCTCTCTCTCTCTCCCTCTCCTTTCCTCTCTAAAATCAATAAAAAAATATATTTTAAAAAGTCACTGGGGGCTCCTGTTAGTGGTACTCATGTGTGTTCCCTTTTCCCGTCCATAACGCCTTTCAAGGGAGAGACACCATTGTCATGGAAATGTACTGTACTACTCAAGTGTCCTGGGTGGGAATGTGGATGAGAATCACTTATTTAAAGTTCTTTATTTTCCCAGATGGAAATCTTTTGCTAGATATACTATAAATCTTTAAATTTTGTTTACAAATTCATACCTGGAATGCTCTAAAATATTTTGGAATGTGACTATTTTATTTTATTGACAGTAGTAAATATTTGGTGCTATTTACTTATATTTTTATGCATATTCATAATATAGTCATGTACATATAACCTTTATTGAGTTTGCAAATAAAATTATTATCTGGCACAGTAATCAATTTTGAGCTTTATAAATTTTCTTAGGAATATTTCCATTTTATGAGAATGAAAAGAAACTAGTAATGAGTCTATGTAGAATTAATCTTGAAAATGAACTCTAGTCCTAATAAATTCAAAATTATCATCTTAATTTAAGAATTTAGAAGTATCATTTAATTTAGGCTGATACTTAAAATTAACCATACCAACATTTGTAAAAAAACGATTTGCTTCCAAGAGGAGATGTTTTGCCAACCTAAGCTTGTAGTGATCATTAAAAGGCCCCTAAAGTAAGATTTTCTTATAAACAGTCTGATCACCCCATAATAATCATAGAACCATATCATAGCCCGTAATCCCATCTGAATCCCAGAAAAATGTTTATGCACAAGAACAGATGGCTTAATATCTCAACACAACATTGAGAGAAAAAGCAAACACATATACCAATACCATACCCACTGTCTAAATTAGTACATAGGAAATGTTAATGGGACTTCATTCAATCATTATTCTTGGCTTCTAGCAAAGAATGCAAAACATTCTATTCACTACAATTAATTCATAATTCTATCTCCACGCAATGATGTGAAATAATTCCTCTAGAGAAATATACACATCTAGCATTTTTACTTGTGCCATATTTCAGAACAGCAAATTGTTCTGGGCATGGGACACAGAAATAAAAACTTTGTTATTACCAGCAAAAACAACTTTCCAAGCATCTGCCAATGAATTTACACAATATTTTGCCAAGCAGAAGTAACCATGATAGAACATTCAATATTTTCCTTGTTTTTTTTTTTTTTTTAAAAATCCATGTTCCACTGAAATGATCTGAAATAAAACAATAATAGATGTACCATCAAACCCATCTGTATCATCTTTGCAACAGAGGAAACAAGCACTGTGACCTCTTGGACAAACCCATGCAGATTTCCAGAGAGGTCGGAAACTTCTCATGGTCTACAGACAAGTATGGTGGCCATTCCCACATTTATTAGATCCTTCTCTTTCTCCTTTAACCAATGCCATGCCTGAGGTTTGAAAGGGTCTTCGGGGTGGATGACCATCGGAGGGATAAAGTTGAACCCAGAAGTGGGGCCAAATCTCTATGGGCTCCTGACAGTGTCACTGCCAGGCCCACCCAGCACGTTAAACGTGGCAATGCATGTTCTGGGGACTCTGTCATGGTGTGAACACCCTGGCATCGTATTTTAACTACCCACTACCTGAGAAGAAGTCATACACCAAGCATGCTTTGCAAGGATTGTAGTGCTTTGAAAAAATTTAGTTCCCAACATATCAAAATTGTAGATTTCATATAAATGTATAGCTTCTTTAAAAAAATTAGAGGGAATATGGTATAGTGGTTACTGGGACTTGGCAGTCAGAGTGCTTGGGTTTAAAGTCCTGGCTCTACCACTTATCAGCCATGTGAGCTTGAGCACGTAGTGTTTAGGCACCTTGTCTCCTAGTCTGTACAATGGTGATGAAGATAGTAACAGTGCTTGTCTCATACAGTTTCTGTTGTAGGTTGTTCTCACATGTAGAGTGATTGGACCAGAGCACGTGAAATGCCCCACATAGTGTTTCTTGTTGGTAGGATTTCCCAGCTGCACTGGACTCGCTTTCCCACCCCCCTCCCCTTTAGGTAGAGCCTTCCTTCTCCCTTTGTTCTCTTTAAATTTTTTTTTTATTTCTTTTAAATACAGTTTACATTCAATAGTATCTTGTATTATTTTAGGTGTTTAGCAGAGTGGTTAGACAGTCATATACTTTACAAAGTGTTCTCCTCGATACTTCCAGTACCCATCTGGCACTGTACATAGTTATTACAATACTAGAGGCCCGGTACACAAAAATTTGTGCACTCGGGGGGGGGGGGGGGCGTCCCTCAGCCCGGCCTGTGCCCTCTCGCAGTCTGGGACCCCTCGGGGAATGACCACTTGCTGGCTTAGGCCTGCTCCCCGGGGGATTGGGCCTAAGATGGCAATCAGACATCCCTCTGGCAGCCCGGCAGCCCTCCGGGGATGTCCACTTGCCAGCGGGGAGCAGACCTAAGCTGCAGTCGGACATCCTTAGCACTGCTGAGGAGGCAGAAGAGGCTCCCACCACCACTGCTGTACTGGCAGCCATTAGCCTGGCTTGTGGCTGAGCAGAGCTCCCCGCTGTGAGAGCACACTGACCACCAGAGGGCAGCTCCTGCATTGAGCGTCTGCCCCCTGGTGGTCAGTGTGTGTCATAGTGACCAGTCATTCCCAGTCTTTTTGCTGTTAGGGTCAGTTTGCATATTACCCTTTTACTATATAGGATAGAGGCCTGGTGCACGGGTGGGGGCCGGCTGGTTTGCCCTGAAGCGTGTCCCGGATCAGGGTGGGGGTCCCACAGGGGTGCCTGGCCAGCCTGGGTGAGGGGCTGATGGCTGTTTGCAGCTGGTCACACCCCCTCAGGGTGGGGGTCCCCACTGGGGTGCCTGGCCAGTCTGGGTGAGGGGCTGAGGGCTGTTTTCAAGCTGGCGGGTGACTGAAGCTCCCAGCCTCTCTTTTTTTTCTTTTTCTTTTTATTCTGGGATTTATTTACCTTCTATAGCTGCACTGGAGCTGAGAGCCGGCTCCAGCTCTGAGGCTGCAGCTGGCTGACAGCAGGTATCTGGGGTTTGTTTAGCTTCTATAATTGAAACATTGTTGCTTTTGGAGCTGTTGCTTCAGGAGCTCAGAGCTGGGCCACGGCAGGCGGGGAACCTTGGCTTCCTCCATCACTGGAGCAAGCAGGCCTCATGTTCGCTTCAGCTGCGTGGCTGCCGGCCGCCATCTTGGTTGGCAGTTAATTTTCATATCGCCCTGATTAGCCAATGGGAAGTGTAGCGGAGGTATGGTTAATTACCTTATTTGTCTATTATTAGATAGGATTATTGACTATGCTGTACTTGAATCCCCGTGACTATTTTGCCACTACCAATCTGTACTGCTCAATCCCTTCACCTTTCACCCTGTCTCCCAACCGCCCTCCCCTCTGGCAGCCATGAGTCTGTCACTGTTCTCATTGGAAGGATCTCACTCATTAACTGGCCTCACTCCTGAGGGCTTCTGAGAGTGAGACACTTTGAGTGGTGTGGGTCTATTTTCACTCATGACTCATGGACCCATCAATTTGGAAAGCCATATCCATCAATGCTAGGCAATTTTATATAATGATTTGATGCTTTCCTTTCCTCTTTCTTTCTGTAATGGTTGTTATTTGAACTCATCCTGTATAATTCCTCTCTATTTAGATCCCTCATTTACTTTTGTTCCAATTTCTGGAAATTTTCCACAAACTTATTTTCTAATAATTTTTTGACTTTTTATTTTCATTTCTGCCATATTATTATGTTTCTAAAGCTCTTTGTTCCCCTCTGTATGTTATTTTGCAATAGTACCGGTAATCATTTCCTCCCTCCTATGGATATAATATCTTATGTTGCTAATGATGTTAATGATAGTTTTTTTTTCTTAAGTTTTCTTCTTTCTACATGTGCTCTTTCTCTGTTTCTCTTCCTTGTTTTTGGTGACAGTCTTGCATATTAGGTTCTCTCCTCAAGTGTCTGAGTTTTTTTTTTTTCTTAGTTCTCTGTTTACACTAGAGTGTGACCCGAAACAGCTGAACATTTGGG